CCCCCATTTTGTTTATCGCATTTGTTTGTATAAATTATCCTCGGTTAGCCTCACTTCAACAACACGATAAGGCGAACTAATCAGGAGACCACCAGGACAGCAGCACCAGTCGCGGAATCTAGAAGCGCGCGTACTAGATGAAACACTTCGACCTAACGCGCGTTAGCGTACAGAGCAGACGACGATGCCTTCAACTATTGTCTGATTTCGATATTGAAATCCGCTGTTATTGGTTATGGATCATTTAATTTGATGTCGAGTTTGATATTAAATACTTGTTATCTAACAATATTTCTTCTTTTTCAATAGTTTATTCTTTATTCGTTTTCGAAATCAACATTGTATTCATATCCATGGGACAGGGCCTTGATGCTCAATAATGTAATACATTATCGCGAATAATCTGCTGCAATGACGTCATAAAATCCACTGGTATTGATAATGCTATAATATAATACCTAGTAATGATTATAATAACATGCAAAAAATAAATTTGTTGAATTGTTATGAAATGCAAATAAATTTCAACTTGTTTCATCATAAGAGAATGATTCCGTTCGCATTTTCAGCGATCGATGCGGTAGAAATGAATATCTGCCATGTTTGACCTGAGACTGTGTTCTTTGACCTGACAGGTCAAATCGATAATTAACCAATGATTTGTTTTTAAATAAAAAAATTAGTTGTTTTCAAAAGATAAACTGAGCATTTGAAGAATAATTTAACATTCTTTACAGCGATAACAGCTTGTTGCCAAAACGAAGCTAACCCATTCACGCTAGTCGCAATAAACATCAATACTCTTGAATAGGCGTCAATGACTACGGCGAAACCTTTAGGCATCAAAAAAGATTAAAATAACACTTTAAAAAACTGCAGAAAAATCGCCCTGGGTCGTTTCTTGGTCCCAATTTATTTTTTTAAAAACCCGATCTGCCGTTTAACGGCCCTGGGCAAATTTACAGCAGAATCCGGTACATGTATAGCTACAAATGATTGTGAATCGCTACTAGTGATGGACTGTGTATTTAATTCAGAACAGAGACTATGCATTCTCAATACTTGTGCATGCAGTTCCGAATTCATATTTCTGACATGTCTGGACCTATCAAGTTCAAACTTCACACATATATCAGACCTGCATTTGTGTCAAGATCCCATTAAAAATGACCGAATGGCGGTCATTTAAAGCTAAAATATACATTGGAATTGCACATCAGAGCATTTGTGTCATGATTTGTTATTCCTGTTTCTAAATAGCCGCAACTGACTCCATCCTGTCTGTAATATTGTGACAGTCAGAATAAATAATACAGACATGAATATCATATACAGACTATTAAAGGAATAAATCACACAGCTGACTCCAGTTTGAATCATGCATATCATACAAGTGTCAATCAGAATAACTAATGCAACATTATCAAACCATTTTGGAACTATATTTTGGGTAATCATTGATGGATTTGGTTTAAATCTGTTGCACAACAAAACGATTTGCCTGAGCTGTTAAAGTGTAATACATTTTGAGAGATATAACGTGCATGTATCACCAGATATGTATATATGCACTCATATATACTCTTACATTAAAAATGACAGGGACTGTATCATGACTTTTAGGCATGTGTCATATAGTGACGAGTAAATATATTATTAATATTCTTGTTTTCAGTTTATGTTCCATAAGCCGTTAAGGCTTCTGAATTGGTTGATCAGCCTGCAACTGTCACTCATATTATACCAGCTTTACTTACTGCTTAGGTCGTCTCATTGGAA